ATTACATCAGGCTTGAAAACAAAACTCATTCGGCGTAGTTAGGATAAATTAATTCGCTTCACTTGCGATTTTTTGGTATGAGCAAAATAAGTCAAAAATAAATAAACTGATGAGAGGTTTCTTTTTGCCGAGTCACACACAATTTAGGGTGTATTTATTCATCTTTCTTTTTTGACCAAACAACGGCTAAAACAACCAAAGCTTAGCAAACAAAACAAATACCATTTTACAATCCGATAATTATGCTCATGGCATGATGAACTACCACTTTGAATTTACCGCATTTAAACGACTGTTGCCAACAAATCCTTATTTGAATTTTTTTTTTCCATATTAACATTCTCCTTCATATTGCATTTATGGTACACTTTTGCACAGGCTGGATTCCCTCCATTTTACTAAATGGATTGTTTAATTGTTACAGATAAACCTGAGATCACTGCCCATCCTCAGGGTGCTGAAAAAACAGAAGGAGATAACGTGACGTTATCTTGTAACGCTACTGCAAATCCAATAGCAACAATATCATGGACCAGAGATGGATCTCCTATAAATACAACTATCAATTCCAGGATCAGTTTTTCAGAAGACAAAAAGAAGTTTACTATAATAAATGTGAACAGGACAGACAGCGGAGAATACCGATGTGTGGCGAGCAACGAACTTGGAAATCATACATCCGATGCTGCTAACTTGGACATACAATGTAAGTTGAGTGTTTCTTTTCAGTGCGGAAACTTTGATGTCAGGACAAGTACGATACTCATACGATACTCATGTGTTGGATTATGAAATGCATTTAGTGCGGGAATAAATTGTTTTTGAAGGTTTGTAGAAACTCAGTAGAGAGCATAGGGGTATTAGCAGTTGGTCCCAGTTATTTCTGTACGAGATATGTTGTTGTTTCTGTTTACCACTTCGCCACTTTGGGAGTTCATCACTATAGTATTTACTTACAATCCCCTAACCTCAGAGTTCCAAAAGTAGTGACCCCGTTTAAGTAACGAGACGTAAAAATTTGCGATAAGTTTAAATTTGTAATATGATTGGTTAAATTTTTATCAGATGCACCTACGATCACTGCACATCTTCAGAATTACACGAAAACAGAAGGAAGTACCGTGATTTTCTCTTGCAACGCTATTGGAAATCCAGTACCAACAATATCGTGGACCAGAAATGGATCTCCTGTAAATAAAACTATCAATTCCAGGATCAGTTTTTTAGAAGACAAAAAGCAGTTAAAAATAACGGACGTGAACAGGACAGACAGCGGAGAATACCGATGTGTCGCGAGGAACAGTTTTGGAAACGATACATCCAATGTTGCTACACTGGATGTTCAATGTAAGTACAGTCTGTTGTTTTATCTAAAATTTCCAGTCGATAGATTTTTTTGAAATTTTTATGCAGTCAGATAATGAGTTACTTGTGTCAGAAGTGCAAAAAAAAATGGGGATCACCGACTTCGTTTCAGAGATAAAGCGTGTGGAAAACTACCCCACAAATAAACGAAGTGCTAAAAAGAACGGAATTCGATGGTGCAAACTTCTTGTCGATAGATTTTCTTCAATTTTTCGCTAAACGTTGAAAATCGGTTTTTACCACAATTGCTATGACGATATGCGTCATCACAGTGGTCAAAATTTGTTGCTGCGCCTCGTGAGTACACAACATTTTGACCACCGTGATGACGCATACCCGTTGTCGATAAGAGTACAGACAACGCTAAACCACGTTCGATTTGTTAAAGAGAAAATTTTCCATGGAAAGAAAAATAGGGGTCACCGAACATCCAAGATCCAGGCAAAGCTATAGCAATGGCCATCTGCCCTAACATTCTTCATTTTATTACTTAGCGCGCGCTCTCGTGCATGACGTGGCGTGTGAATTTGCGTGCGCAGTAAGGTTGCGTCCTTAAACGAAACCAGTCGGTTCAAAAACTGTAGCAGTTACTGTAGCTATCAAGGTCCTTTTTCGCAAGTTACAGACATTTAATTTAATTTGTAATTTAATTTCGTTCCCTTTCGTCTAGACTAACCCATTTCTTACGGCCAATTCTTTTTTCTTACAGTCAATTCTTTTTTTTTTTTTTTTTTTTCATTTTTCACATTTTTCTATCTTTAAGCTTTTTCAGTTAATCTTTACTTTTCCAGATAATTTCCCTTACCAGTTTTCTAACGTTTATGAAAACAATAACATAAATCTGGATTGGATATGTAGGATTTAATNCACCCCCGGGACTGCGATTTGGCGTCCGTTATAGGGAGATTCCGTAATAACATTATGCTACTATTACCGATTACAAGTTAATTAACACTTTTACAGCTTTTTTTTTTCTGTAGATTGCTATAATGTTATTTGCTAAGTGAATCGTTCAATTGTTACAGATAAACCTGAGATTACTGCCCATCCACTGACTGAAACGAAAACGGAAGGAGATAACGTGACATTCAGTTGTGACGCCGTTGGAAATCCAGTACCAACAATATCATGGACCAGAAATGGATCTCCTGTAGATACAAGTGACAATTTTTCCAGGATAGGTTTTTCAGTGGACAAAAAGGAGTTGACAATAACGAGTGTGAGCAGGACAGACAGCGGAGAATACCGATGTGTGGCGGAAAACAGTGTTGGAAATGAGACTTCTAATGCTGTCAAGTTAGATGTGCAACGTAAGTACATGTGTGATGTCAGTGTTATTCAACTGTGGTAGTCCCGTTTTAATGAGATGCAATTTTCCGATCGTATATGGACTGAAAACTGTCTGGAAGATCCGTACAAACCGTGCGGATTGAAAAACCGTTTCACCTCTTCGCTTTGTTAAGATGTGTAAACAGACAGAAAACGTTTTTAAGGATATGTCAAATTTAATGGATTGACAAGCATTTTTTTTTAATCGTATTGGTTTATTTATATTGCACAACCCTCTTTTTTTTTTCAGTTTCCCCCGAGTTGACTTATTAGTTTTAGGACATCTGTTGAATGTGATCAATCATGCTGTATTCTGGCGTTCACGTTCCCAACAAATGTGCATAAAAGTAGGGAACGGACGGTATGGATTAATCGAACTAAACCGAGGGAAAAATCAATCGAACTCCACTCGTTCGACGGGCAACCCGAAAACACTGACCCCCGGTCCGCGGAGTACCTATGGACCGGTCCACGGACTACCCCTACGGACCCCCTCTACGGACCATCCCCCAAAAATATAATAAAAATTAGAAATAAATACTTCACTCATGGGTTGTCTAACAGATTACTCGTCTCGGCGAATTTTCGAGTATTATACTGTGCAAATGTAATTGACACCCTTCTTCCCCCCCCGTAAAATACAGCCTATAAGCTTTATTCAGCGTAAGGAGATGCCGATGGCAAAAAGAAGGAAAATTGTTACATTACATTCGTGGCTCAATCTGTCTATGGAAGATGAGTTTTTAGGTCGTTCAAGCTTGTTTGTTTCTGTAACTGTGCTGATCAAATTGTGAAGCCTGGAACGAGTTCACGAATCCACGTGAGAATGGGCTGAACAAAATGGTGGAGGGGAAAGAGCACAAATTCCGAGGTTTCCCGGAGGCTTCCTGGAGGCTTCCTGGAGACTTTCACTGCCTTTCATATACAGTATGACCACAGCAAAGGAAATGGCAATGTGTAATGATACAACTTGCGCCCGAGCTTGAACCCCACGAACGTTGAATTTGCAAAATGTAAAGTAGTCCGTGGACCGGTCCATAGGTGGTCCGCGGACCAGGTCCGTAGTGGGGGTCCGCGGACCGGGGGTCAGTGTTTTCGGGTTAACCCTCGTTCGACTGTTTTGCGATTGGCTCGACAATCGCAGTTGAAATTTTATTGTGAGATTGTTTTCTAAACTCAGTTGAACCGTCCGAACTCGATCGGTGTGTTGCAAACAACTGAAAAGTCGATATGATGCACCAGTAAGAAAATATTACAAAACACTAAGAGCACAGCAAATGAAACTAACTTTCTAGTTTTACTAACAGTTGTCGCACTGGTCCTGGACGAGTTCAACCGCTGTTAAAACTGCGCTCTGATGTGTAAAAAAATGACCACAATGACAGGATGTTTAGATCGGCAACAATATAATTAATATACAGTATGTTGAAATAGTAATGATTAGCGCCATCAGTGTCCTTATAACCTCACAGTAAACCGTATCTACGTAAACTTAAAGGGGTCATTTGCCACAAAGCCGTTGCACAACACCTGCAAAACAAGCAAGACTTTTAGTAAAGCAAGCATTCTTTGAATTTACAGAGAATAGCAATAAAGGTGAATAAAGGCGAACAATAATTTTTCTTGAGGTCAAAATCAACATGGAAACAAAATAGTTATTGCTTGTGGGCGGAATAGTTGGGCGGACTAGTTGGCTCTTCCGATGTTTTATGTTTTTAGAGAAAAACGTGTAAGAATTAGCAAAGTGCCTGCTAGTGGTTAAAGACGTTGTTGAAGTTGAAGCGGATGAGGTTATTGTTGGTCTTTCGTGACATGAATGTTAGTAGTATTTGTATTGAGTGTCCTGGATGCACAATTAACTTTCGATTTTACCGTTATGACTTTTTAAGAAGTTCGTCATGTTCGATTGAAAACTCAACTTCGGATTTTGTTCGATTAAAGAAGCGTCCGACTATCGAATATTCATTTGTGTTTTAGTGCCAAAATACTTTGGTGTATTTGTGTTGGAATGACGGACCCGAAGGAGAGCAATCGAACGATTCAGGTTCGGCTTGACTCTATTACTGGACGTTCTTTTGGGGGCAAATTGGTTACGGTGTAGTCATCTGCAGGTCCTTCAAAGGCAAAAACCAAACAGCGGCAGTCTTACTGCCCCGGGCTACTGTATACACTTCTGAAACACTACCGTACATCAGCTGTACACGGATCTCTCAGTGCAAAACTTTGCGCCTTGAGTGCCGATTAGCTTTAAATTTCTTACTGATATAGTATGTGTCGATCTCTTCTCAGATCATCCTGAGATCACTGCTCGTCCTCAAGTTAAGACAACCACGGAAGGAGATAACGTGACTTTATCTTGTAACACTACTGGCAATCCAGTACCGACAATATCATGGACTATAAATGGAACTCCGGTAGATAGAAGGGACAATCCCAGGATCAGTTTTTCAGAAAGAAAACAGCAATTGATTATTACGAATGTGAGCAGGACAGACAGCGGAGAATATCGATGCGCGGCGAGCAACAGTCTTGGAAATGATACCTCCAATACTACTTCACTGGACGTTCAATGTAAGTGGAGAATGTTGTTTTAATTGCACGACATCGAAGAGGCTGGATAACTGTCGCCTGTTCTTCCCTTCTGGGTTTTTGGGCAGAATGTACTACTGTTTAATGAAACACTCAAAGATAAGCCAGGACTAGCAAATCTTTGATCGTAGCTCAGATAAGTTGATTTTCAATTGAGAGTCGTAAAACCAAATCCAAACAAGTCACTCTGGCCAATAACAAAAGA